ATTGCTCTCAATGTTGCTACACTTAGCTTCGTTGTAAGGACGTCTTGGAAAGCTAATACAAAACTACTGTATTTGTTTTCAAGATGTTATCAAACCTACTGAAAATCTCGATGCATGTTGAGGAATAAAGTCTTTTACAACGGAGGTAATTTGTCCAGTCTTTCTCCATGAAGATAAGCTTACTTACAACATCTATCATAGTTTCATTCATTCAATCCTTTGAACGTCAGTTATGCAACATTAGCATGTAAAAGTGATTGTTCCTTTGTGAATGACTGACAGAAACTGACAAAATGGAGTCATATAACAGTATTCTTATCAAAATGATCATATCCATTCATAATATGGATTTTCAGTGATCTTAAGTAGCGATAACGCTGTTCTTTCTCCTTTTCTGTTTTCTTTCTTCTTGCATGACTTGCCTCACTCCGATGAAATGAACTTTGTTAAATATGCCGATCATCTAACTATTTCAATGTCTGTTAACTCCCAGCTAGACTGCACTAAGATGAACAGCTTTCTATCAGGAATTAGCAAATGGTCTTCGTCTAACGGCCTTAAACTAAATCCTTCCAAATGTCAGACTGTCAACTTCAGTTTCCGATGTAAACGAAAGTTAAATGAAGCCGTTGGTTCCTATAGTCCTTGCAAAATTGGTGATACTGATATAGAAACCCAGTCTGAAGTTAAGTATCTTGGAGTAATTCTCTCTTCTGACCTATCCTGGTCTTCTCATGTCTTAGCGATTTCTAAAAGAATATTTCGTCTGACTTTTTACATTAAGAAGTTGAGGCACTCAGGCATAACCCAACCACTCCTCTTACAGTTTGTCAACTCGTGTATTTTACCTATTCTTCTTTACTGTTCACCCTTATTCTTTCCTGGATTGCTTAAAAAAGTCTACGTCATACTTCGTAGAACGCTTAAGACTGTCAGTAGAACGAGTGGTATCCCATTGGGCCATATCGTTGACATTGTCACGGATAGGCACTTGATGTCATGCAACAAATTCGCTAAAGGAATTTCGTCAGACTGTGAGCACCCACTCTACCCGCAGCTCCAACCTTGTGTCTCCTCAGGTAAAACAAGAAGTCTGTTCAGAAGAATTTATGCACGTACATCTAAGTATAAAAATTCTACTACACCATATTTAGCACGTACTTTATGTGATGAAAATAGTGTTAGACATGAACTAACCAACCTTCTTTGCACCACTAAATAATCTATTTCCTCCACCCTTACAACACCAAACTTTATTGTTATTGTATTACTTATACTTATAATCCTCTCAATTTTTTGTTTTGTTTATTTATTTTTTCATAATTATGGACATAATTTAAGCTGTATTATAACTGTTAATTTTGTGTTTACCCTCACTATACTATATAAACAGAACATTAGATCCAATAATCCATAACATGCTAAAGTTTACAAACTGAATCGACAATACCGTTTGAAACAAACTCACTGTTATTATTATTATTATAATATCTAATAATTATGTCGTAAATGTGGACAAATTCCTCTGATTAATTTTGTTTTAATTTTTAATTTTATTTATATTTCGAGTAAATCAGATGCAATATTGTGACAATGCTGAGAATTCCATTCTGTATTATAAGTACTGTTTATGGAATAAAGTAGATTATTAACATATATTTCAGGTCAGATAACGAACTGAATTCAGTTAGGGAACCATTGAAACCCGGAGATTGTTGGAGAGATATTTTGTCCTAGTTTGACACCATCCAACAGTATTCGCCCATGGCCGAACTCAGAACCTTCAAGTTACGAGGTGAGTGGCGGCGGTGTTATACATCGCCAGTTGGGTCTCATCTCGTAACCTGAAGGTACTGGGTTCGATCATTGGTGCATACCGTTGAACGGTGCCAAACTAGGACGAAACAGCTCCCCAGTACTCCATGGTTTTCGACAGTTCTCTAACTGATACCAACCCATGATCCAGTTTGAAACTAATCAAATTACTGTAAGCCACCACTTGATAATTATTCATATTTCTTTTTCCTATTTGGGTATTCCGGTCGTTTGAGTATTACGCTGTCTAAGAAACTTCGTGCTTTTTTTACATGTCTTTGTCTGTAACTTTTGTTTATTACTATTGGTATATTTCATTATAGCAGCATTTTCTTGAAAACGCAATTTACCAGCTCTGTGCTCACAATCAGAATGGCATAAGTACTTCAAAGTAATAACAGATATGCTTGCAAAGTTTAATGATAGGTAGATATCAACTTATTTCTAGGATATAGACAACAACCACAAATTCGATGCACATGAATTTCACTCGACCATAATTCATAGGCGTAGCATCAAGTTTGTCATTCATTATCTAAAGCCCGGACAGAAATCGCTCATCAATTGTCAACTTTGTCTAAAAACCGTTTGAACCATTCAAACATATTTACAAGAATAACTGACGAACTTATAAAGGTTATACAATACAGTTTCTAAATAGATATACTTACGAAGACAACTATATCCAATCCATTCATATATAGGGATGGAAAATTTAAAAATATATTTTGGTTTGAATAGTGACGCATGGAGTTGTCGATAGTGTATTACACAATATGTTTGAGATATTCTTGCTTGTGCCATAATCATGGTGTATATTAGTGAAATTATCGGACACAATCTGAATGAAAAAAATCGGGCTTTACATTTTTTTATATTTTATTTTGATTTACAGCTTGGTTCCACACCGTACTTTCAGTACAAGTATGGAACTTTCAGCATGGATATCGGTAGCCCAAATTCAGGCCGACCATAGATATCGGGTGTGCGCCGGCAGGGGATCGAACCCCGGACCATGTGCATGGTCGGCGAGAGTCCTAACCACTGTGCCACCGACGCACACTACTGTCACGTCAGTCAGTGCTTCTTTATGGTTCACAGACTTAGTACGTGCGTCACAAGAAGCAATTCCAACAGATTGCAGACTTTCATCTACGACTGCTTTCACTCCATTGTTGAAGATCAATTAGCCAGCCAGAAAGCATTAGCAACAAGACACTATGGGAGCGAAGCAACGAAGAAGCCATCGCTCAAAAAATATGTCGAAGGAAATGGAGATGGATTGAACATAAGCTGAGGAGACCGCTGAGAGGCACTACAGGTGATGCAAGCCCTCGAGTGGATCCCGAATGGGAAACAACAAGCCGGAATTTGAGGGTACATACGGTCAATAAAGAACTGGGAAACCTTACTACAGTACTCCTAAATAATGGACATACTAGAAGGTTTGTTGAAAGAAATATGAAGAAAGGAACCGCTCGTAGCCAAGTCATAATCCCAAAGAAGACACTGTTTGTAATTATGACATTCAAAGGTGACACCACTGCTGAAGTTATTAAAAGTTGTCTCTACAAGTGCATTAAACGACATTTTTATGCCACTGACTTCCTTCCACTTAGTATTCTTCGGTCGAAGTATGATTCGACAATGAGTGGATGATAAATGACCACCTCTATGAGTATCCGTTTTCAGATGTTCCTGCGGACCTAATTACATTAGGCGTTGTAAACGTGTTCTCCAGAAATGTTTCGCTGAACACCAACCTGTATAGTTAATGAAAGGTGAGCACATGATGACGAAGTCTTTCGTCTATGTGAACACTTTCTTGAATCATGTCAGTTAACCCAATGCGATTTTTCCTTTAAATTTATATATACTCTAAAAGTGTACGTTTTCCCCAATTACATATCGCCGATGTTCTAGCTATACATGTACAAAAAGCTAAAATATGTATACAATTTTGTCGCTTGGATTCATCCCAATTAACTTCATCTTGGCCTTTTCTCTTGATTTCAGCAAAGTTCTACTGTAACGACAGAAGACAAGGGCCAGGCAACAGATCGTTTATTAAGGAAATCAAAGCATATTTATATATTTTCATGTACATTATTATATTTTAATTAAGTAAACAACACAGTCTTCTGATTGGTTGTTTCTCACTTAAAGTTAATCTTTCATCTCTTTGTGACTGTTTCTTGAATGTCAGATCATCTATATGTTAACTGTATCCGCCTACGCAAAGTCTGTTGTGGTCGGTTTTTGAATCAGTCTTGTTCATATTTTCTCACGACCAATCTTGAGAACGTAAATATTGACGTAAATTACTGTCTACCAATTTGGCTAGTAGACAGCTCTCACCACACTCGTCCCCTCGTCAAATAGTTTTGACTGAAGTCGGCTAGATCTTCTTGGTGCTGGCGTCATCGTTGGCTTGTCGCGCTCTATCCATTTCTGTAGCTCGCTGATGTTCACCCGCTTCTCTCTGTTTGCATTTTTGATGGTATATACGTGACCCCGTCTCGCGGTGACCGTGTATGGTCCTTCCCACTTTGGCAGCAGTTTCCGCGACCCTGGCACGTATCCGCCGGTGTTTCGCCTATCTCTACATTTGACTTGATCTCCGATCTCGAATGCGGGGTACTTCTCCTTCACCCTCAGTTCGGCTTTCACAGCGTCCACTTTCTGTTTTCGTTTTCCGTTGTTGATGGCTTCTTTCCGCTCCGTCCGCCATCTCGTCATACTCCAATGCTGATGGAGGGACCAGGTCTTGTTATGTATCGGTAGTCGTGGTTTCCTCCCATACATCAACTGAAACGGTGCTTTCTTCGTCGTTTCTTGCGCGGACGCACGATGTGCTAGCAGAATCAGTGGAAGTTCTGTCTCCCAGTTACCGCCCTTTGTGGCCAGCCACTCTATCAGGGGGCCGTTATTTCTCTCCGTCAGTCCGTTTGTTTGTGGATGATATGGCGTTGTTCTAATTTTCTTGATACCTAACTCTTGCAGCCGGACTTTAAACTCTTCGCTTTTAAAACACGGACCTTGGTCTGTCAATATCGCTTTCGGCACACCGTGATTTGCAACGATATGTCGCACCACTGCTTCTGTAACCGTTTTTGCGCGTTGATCAGGGATCGCAACTGCGTCTAGCCATCGTGTGGCATATTCTGTCATTACCAGAAGATATTGATTGCCATTGGACGTTTGTGGAAAAGGTCCCATTACATCTACTGACCACAGGTCGCCTACTGCTGTCACTGGGATCGACTGCGGTGACGGTCGTATATGCTGATCACCTTTCATCAGCTGACATTGCGCACACGCTGTTACGTACTTCTCGACGTCTTCTCTCATACCTGGCCAGTACATGCTTTTTCGCAGGAGATCGTTCGTTCTGGCAACACCTGTGTGAGCTAGTTGGTGACATTCCTGTATCATCTCTTGGCGCAGACACTGAGGTATTACTGCTAAGCGGCTTCCGTCATCATTCCGCCACGTCAACATTCCGCAGGTATTCAAGTTTAGCCGGTCTTTTTGTTTGAGTAGGAGATTTAGCTCACGCTTCGCTGTGGACTGATTCACCTTTTTTTCGTTAGTTATCACTTGTATGACAGTTTTCATGGTGTCGTCTGATCTTTGACTCTGGACATGTCTTGCTGGGTCCTGCTCTAAGGCATTTACACCATATGCTATTTCCGGTAACTCTACCTATTCTGTTCTAGATAAAATATCCGGTAACACATTCTCTTCTCCTGGAACATGAGAGATCGTGAAATCGTACTCTTGCAGGCGCAGCATCCATCGTGACAACTTCCCACGTGGGTCTCTGGCGGTCCTTATCCACTGCAACGGCTTATGATCAGTCTCTACATGGAAGCGTTGACCCAGTAAATAAGGTCTCCATTTGTCTAGCGCCCACACAATCGCCAAACACTTCTTCTCAATTGTTGAATACTTCTGTTCTGTGTGCGTTAAAACACGGCTGGCGTACTCGACGACTCCGTCACCCTGTCTGAGTACTGCACCTATTCCGTAATAGCTAGCGTCGGTAGACACTATGAACGGCTCTCCCGGTACCGGTAGTCGCAGCGTCATTCTCTGGTGATCCATCAGCTGTTTGATGTGGTCAAATACTCTGCGAGTCTTCGGACCAGACAAACTTTGACTCGCCTAATAGCCGGTAGTCGGTCGGTATCATCATCTAACTTGAACACTTTTGACAACACAACCTACTTAAAAACTCTTCGCAGAAATTCACATAATAAATAATAATTCATCCACTACAACTCTACCTCCTTACAGATTACGCCAATCATCTTTATTTTTATCAGATGTGTATATTGACTACTGAAAAATTTGTAGTGCCACTTAATGCTTCTCATAGTAACATAAATAAGACTCACTGTGTGGCTGGTTCTCCTCGCGAGATTTATTAGTCGTATATAAAAAGAGACATTCACCGGCACAAGAAAATCAAATAGCAGAGAGATGAGGTCATATTTGGTTAGACCACCACTAGCAGTTATTTTCCAACCTGTTCCATACTATGTCAGATAACACTACCCATCGAAGAAGGAGATAGCTAGGCCTCATGCATGAGTGACACATGCCTAACAATCTCAATTGGTGTAACTTCCCTCCAAAAGTCATCATTTCCAAACGATGCTGACACTTTAAAACGTTGCAAAGTAGTTAACAAACTGATCGTCCATAAGGAAGATAACAATGAAGACAGCTGCCTTAAACCAGATGAATCAGTGAATATCGAAGAAAATAACTCTTTTCCTGAGTGGCAATGATGTGTAATGATGTGTACCATCGCTTCCTTGTAACAAATGGTTTGGAATCAGTTAACAGTGTTGATATGACTGTAATTTATCCTGCTGAGTCACATCACTTTGCAAAATTTACCGGTTCTGGTCGTCATATCATTCAGGAAACTCCAGAAATGTTTAAAGACGTTATTCTTCCTTTCTTGTCTGAAAAGCCTAAAGACCTCACTTGGATTGATAATATAATATCAGGAACCGCTGAACAAGACCGTGTTCTTTACACTGGTGTACATGAAGAGTATGGTTTCACACTAGTACTGGACTATCAGTGGGATGGAACACGCTTGCAAGAACTCCATTGCCTAGGTATTGCTCATAATGAAAAGCTAACATGCCTACGTGATCTGCGTCGTTGTCATGTTCCAATGTTGAGAAAGATTTTGCAGCAGGGACGCAATCTGCTTTCTGATAAATACAGCAAGCCGGATGTTTCCGATAATCAAACGTGCCATAATGGTCCTAAAGTTCGTCTATCAAAAGATCAAATTCTTGCATATTTACATTATCCACCAACTTTTTATAGGCTTCATGTTCATTTCATGCATGTAGATTCAGGAGATAGTGGCACTATCGCAGGCAGAGCCCATATACTAGAAGAAATTATCCGTAATCTTGAACAAGATGATTTTTATTATGCTAACCGTACAATCACTATCTTTTCACATGATCAAAGTCCTATGTACAAAGCTATTTGTGCAGGTCGTCCCCTAGAATCTACTGAAGATTCAGTAACTGAGTAAATTTTGTTTGGGTCATAGCATTGGATTGGGTAACTGCTTTTTGTCTAACCGCTATCCAAACAACCTTTCTGAACTGTGTAAATTATGTTTCTTGATAAGAAATGTGGAAGATTTATTACAAATATATAGTTTGTTGTACTATCTCCGTTTTTAGTGGATAAAATGTAAAAATATATTTCGTAGCATTATCAGTTTTAGTTTTAATGTGTACTGTGCAACTGAAATATTTTACTACTGAGTGCTGCAGCAGATTTTTTAGAATAGAACACTTGTAGTTAAGAGCAGCGCATATGTATATGATGAGATGTGGTCAGCTGGCTTTAATATTTCGTTTTATACATTGGTATCAAGTTGCAATTCCACACCAAGTTTTTCTGTGAGACGGGGGTAATCTATCATAATGTTTCACAATCAAGTAGATTAATCCCTAGATTACGCTGTTCTAGATAGTAGCTAACTAGATTTTCAGCTGCTTGTCCAACAAAACCACACGACGAATTATGTAAATTAGGTAATAAAGGGTTTGGTAAATATTGTCATGATTCGCATTACGTTGAAATTGAAATAGGAACACCGGGTTGGACAAATGCGCTCATCACTAATACCGCTTGACTACGCCAGCAACATTATACAACAGCTCCCTGTTTTCGCAGCCCGTACTACTTAAGCGTGGACACACGGTGACGTGAGCTGCAAAGTATATTTTACGCAATGTATAATTCAAAGTGTCACCAACGATATGTCAGTTAGTCTGCAATCATGATCAGTAAAATATTGGCGTTATTTTACGTTGACCAGTTGCGACTGGTTTATTTGCAGACTGAACATGGACAAAATATCATCTCTCCCTTCAGAAAAGACGTATTATTAAGGGTCAACTTGGAACTGAATCATTCATTTTCTGCACCTGGTCAACCGGCGCTGAGAGAATGGTCTGCTTACTGGAAGGTCTAGAGCACTTATGGCCTCTTTCCTATCAGAGCGTGAGCGGCGGCGCGCTTGAAAACCACTTTTCCGAGATGTGAGGGTTTGTCATCACTAATCGTAATGAAACATCTACGCCTATGTTCCTTCCAGAATCTGTTGAAGGTTGAAGATTCAATCGAAACGTCCTCTTCCTGTTCTATAGCCTGTCTGGCTCTCTCGTCTTTGCTCCTTCCAAGAACCGCTTAGCCTACGCATGATTATTGAGCCTAGAACTTTAGATACCATATTGGACAAGTTGATCCCCTTGTAATTATCACAGGAAGATATAAGTATAAAACTTGGGCACTGTGGTAGAGTGTAACTCCATTATGGATAAGATTTTATTTGGATAAATCACACAGTGTTACACAGTAATATTAACTGATGACGTTTCGAGCACAAACTATTGCTCGTAATCATATCAAGTTGATATGATATCATATACAACACTGTGTGATTTGTCAAAATAAAATCTTATCCATAATGGAGCTAGGGACGGAGGACCTGTGTTTATATCCCATTCAGGGAAGTGTTGGATGTGCGGTAAGTTGAGTGTGGCTGTGGGCCAACTAAACTGCTCCTCAAAGTGTTCTTTCCTGCGTTCTAGTCGTCTATCCTGAGAGCTAATTATGATGCCATTTTTCTCAGAGATTGTTTCACTTATCATTTGCCTCTTACCACCTGTTTCCCTGATCAGTCCAAATAGTTAGTTGTCTGGTGTTACCTATCACCGATGCCTTCCCCATCTCTTTCACTTTTGTCGTTCACCACTTTTCACGGTCGTTGCGAAGACTTCTTGTTCGTTTGCGTTTGAGCAGCTTTCGCTCCTCATCGTATTTGAAACCCGTCAGAATCAGTTTTCTTGCCTCAATTAGTTCGGATGAGGTAGTAGAAATCCATTGGCTCTTAGTAACTTTTGGTTTTAAGTTATTAACAGCATTTTCAGCTGTGTCTACAGCTAACTGTGTATTGTGCCAGGCTTCCTCAGGGGAGGGGCGCTCTTGCTGTTGATCTCAGACACTCGTTTCACTATTTCTTCCTCAGTGTCTTGATTTAGTTGGTAACGTAACTGCTTCGCTGCCAACAGCTCCTTATGACCATTCAATTGTAAGCATAAACGTGCGCATTTGTCCAACCCGGTGTCCCTATTTCAATTTCAACGTAATGCGAATCATGACAATATTTACCAAACCCTTTATTACCTAATTTACATAATTCGTCGTGTGGTTTTGTTGGACAAGCAGCTGAAAATCTAGTTAGCTACTATCTAGAACAGCGTACACAAAGTTGTGTAATGTAGGTATTTATCTACTTGATTGTGAAACATTATGATAGATTACCCTCGTCTCACAGAAAAACTTGGTGTGGAATTGCAACTTGATACCAATGTATAAAACGAAATATTAAAGCCAGCTGACCACATCTCATCATATACATATGCGCTGCTCTTAACTACAAGTGTTCTATTCTAAAAAATCTGCTGCAGCACTCAGTAGTAAAATATTTCAGTTGCACAGTACACATTAAAACTAAAACTGATAATGCTACGAAATATATTTTTACATTTTATCCACTAAAAACGGAGATAGTACAACAAACTATATATTTGTAATAAATCTTCCACATTTCTTATCAAGAAACATAATTTACACAGTTCAGAAAGGTTGTTTGGATAGCGGTTAGACAAAAAGCAGTTACCCAATCCAATGCTATGACCCAAACAAAATTTACTCAGTTACTGAATCTTCAGTAGATTCTAGGGGACGACCTGCACAAATAGCTTTGTACATAGGACTTTGATCATGTGAAAAGATAGTGATTGTACGGTTAGCATAATAAAAATCATCTTGTTCAAGATTACGGATAATTTCTTCTAGTATATGGGCTCTGCCTGCGATAGTGCCACTATCTCCTGAATCTACATGCATGAAATGAACATGAAGCCTATAAAAAGTTGGTGGATAATGTAAATATGCAAGAATTTGATCTTTTGATAGACGAACTTTGGGACCATTATGGCACGTTTGATTATCGGAAACATCCGGCTTGCTGTATTTATCAGAAAGCAGATTGCGTCCCTGCTGCAAAATCTTTCTCAACATTGGAACATGACAACGACGCAGATCACGTAGGCATGTTAGCTTTTCATTATGAGCAATACCTAGGCAATGGAGTTCTTGCAAGCGTGTTCCATCCCACTGATAGTCCAGTACTAGTGTGAAACCATACTCTTCATGTACACCAGTGTAAAGAACACGGTCTTGTTCAGCGGTTCCTGATATTATATTATCAATCCAAGTGAGGTCTTTAGGCTTTTCAGACAAGAAAGGAAGAATAACGTCTTTAAACATTTCTGGAGTTTCCTGAATGATATGACGACCAGAACCGGTAAATTTTGCAAAGTGATGTGACTCAGCAGGATAAATTACAGTCATATCAACACTGTTAACTGATTCCAAACCATTTGTTACAAGGAAGCGATGGTACACATCATTACTCATAATTGATTTGGCTTGCCACTCAGGAAAAGAGTTATTTTCTTCGATATTCACTGATTCATCTGGTTTAAGGCAGCTGTCTTCATTGTTATCTTCCTTATGGACGATCAGTTTGTTAACTACTTTGCAACGTTTTAAAGTGTCAGCATCGTTTGGAAATGATGACTTTTGGAGTGTTACAATGGCTTCCTTTAAGTCATCGCCGAAACGGGTGTGAAGCACCAAACACTTGCTGCGAGGATCATTCCGAAGCACAGAAACTAAATGCATATTTTCGGGGCAGAAAGAGATAGAGTCTGTTGAGGCATTAGTCGAGCAGATAGACGATACATCAAGCCGAGCACGCTTTTTTGGAGGCACGGGTGGAGTATCACCTAATAGTCGAAACGAATTATCTGACATTTCTATCTGTACAGACTTCAATAGCTATTATGTCAGACTCACGAATCCGAGCTCTGCAAAGAACACCTTTTGGTGTACGTAGGTTTCTCACGTAAACAAAGTTTGATTGTCGATCGGGATCGGATTTGATAGTTATATCTGAAGGACACCAAATGTCAAGAGTAGCCTTGAGAGGTTAAGATTAGCTAAATGAAGCAAAACTGAAGTACCGTTGATAAAAGTTAGCAGCAGGTGCAAGTAACTTAAACACGGAATTAAGGTAGAGTTTTTTTTGTCAATATCATTCGCAGACATTCAACCAGAATAGACGGTGAAATTAGTTCGGTGGAGGAGAGTTATTGAAGGATCGTAGTATGGTCGAAGAAATGATGATCCGTCAGCAGGGCCTACAGTCTACATATAAATACATAAATAAATGAATACTTTTACAATGAAAGACAAATTAAGTGCAATTAATAGATGGAAGATTGAACCAGTTGATTACAACAATATATTATAGATATCTTAATCATTATTCAGAGACTAACTAAGAACCGATGGTTTACTTGAAATCTGTTCGCTTAACCTTTAACTACGTGATCATAAGTTTAAACTTTGCTCTGTCCACTGCGACTTTCACAATTATTAGAAGGTAGATACATTTAACCTAATGGGTTCCTATGTGCTGTCTAGGTTACATTACAGTTATCTTAGGAGATAATCAAGTACAGAGATTGGTAAATGTTGATAACTGAGGGCGCAGGTATTTGGTAATGCTTTATGATTCTATTCAGTATAAACTGCTTGAAACCACAGGTACAGGATACCAAAAAGGTGGATTTTTGATGCTATAATCAACATAAAACATACGTCTGAGTTTACATTTGAACAAGATATGTGAAACCAATACCAACCAATTTGACTGTTGTCGGAGTGATTCATTTAATTATATACAATTGAAATACCAAACAATAAATCATACTTCAGTTTTCATGGAAGCGATGATAAACAGTACTGTATACCCTCACAACATGCTGCCATATTTTGAAGTTAGTCGAAAAGAGAATTATGTACCTGTTATCAAAACAGACGCACATAAGTGTAGATATTTGTGTTAATGTATTCTGCAGACCACTTATTACGTTAACGTTGATT